ATGTTTGTTTTCTTATTTTTTGTTTTTTCTGTTTGTTATTGTTTTGGTTGGTTGCTTTGTTGTTTCCTTGTTTGTTTGTTTTGTTGTTTGTTTTTTGTTTGTTCGTTGGTTAGCAGGATAACTCAAAAAGTTATGAATCGATATTTAGAAAAAAAAATTACCAGATGCGATTAAATTTTGGTTCTGATCCGTATCCTGATAATGTATTGCATCAGGTACCCTCGCATCTATCTATTTAAGGAGAAGGAGAAAGAGAAGGAGAAGGAGAAGAGGAGGAGGAGGAGGAGGAGGAGGAGGGAGAAGGAAGAGGAAGAGGAAGAGGAAGAGGAAAAAGGGAGAGAGGAGGAGGAGGAGGAGGAGGAGGAGGGGAAGAGGGAGAAGGAGGGAAGAGGAAGAGGAAGAGGAGGAGGAGGGAGAGGAGGAAGAGAAGTAGGAAGAAGTAGAAGAACAATTTACTCTCTATTTACTAATCTATCCATCTTCTACCCCCCCCCCTCTTACCGTGGAGCAGCCGGACCGCGTCTTCGTCTTCGAGCAGCGTCTTGTTCTCCCTCAGAATCCTCTCGGCGATCAGCGTCGAGCAAGACCCGACCATCTCGAGCTGGATGTCGTCGCCGCCTGGAGGAGGGAAGGAGAGGGAGGGAAGAGAGGGAGGAGGGAGGGAGGAGGGAGGGAAAGAGGGAGAGGGAGGGGAGGGGAGGGGAGGGAGGGAGGGGGAGGGGAGGAGGGGATTGGAGGGGAGGGAGAGAGGAGGTAGAAGGAGGAGGAGGAGGTGGAGGAGGAGGTAGAGGGGAGGAGGAGGACAAGGTGGAGGGAGGGAGGGAGGGGAGGGAGGGAGGGAGGGAGGAGGAGGGAGGGAGGAGAGGGAGGAGGAGGGGGAGGAGGGGAGAGGGAGGGGAGAGGAGGGGAGGGTGAGAGGGTGGAGGAGGAGGAGGAGGAGAGGAGGAGGTGGAGGTGGAGGTGGAGTGGAGGTGGAGGAGGAGGAGGAGAATATTTAAAATAATATTTAATACAAATAATGGTGGAAACAACATATGGAAGAAGTAAGATATGGTAGAAATAGTGGTCTAAAAAAACATATGACAATAACAATGGTAGAAATAATATATGGTAGAAATAAGGCATGATAAAAAAGGATGATAGAAATAAGAATATTAGGAATTAACAGTGATATTTTTTTATTGTTATAGTTTGACCACTGCGTAGACCCGCATCACTAAATAACAGTGATCTTTTTTTATTGTTATAGTTAGTACCACTACGGCTTAAGACCCGCATATCATCACTAAAATAAATATTTATGTTTTTTTTCCAACTCTTCACAGACAAAAGCCTCATATTTTTATCTCCTTTACATCAATTAAGTAAATGAACAGATAAAAAAAAAAAATAAACAAAATAATACAGTCATAAATCAATCCATCAGTATATAAACAAACAAACAAACAACAACACACTCCCGAATCCCTAAAACCCACACCCACAACTTCCAATTCCCGGTTCGATTCCCGGATTCCAAGATATCCCATTCCTTACCTGCCCCGAGCTGCCGTTCCAGCCGATGGTGATCGATGACGCAACAAACAGCTGATTCTAAACACGTGTCGCCAGCTGGTAAGATGTTGTGGTCGACGAGAAACAGCTGGAGGAATCCTTTTTGGTGCAATTCGTGCAATTCTATCTCGTCTCTGGGAGGAAAAGAGATTTATACGATGATAATTTGATAAATGATAAAAAATAATAGTAATAATATAACAACAACAAAAAACAACAACAACAATAATAATAATAATAATAATAATAATAAAAAACATTAAAACAATAATGATGATGATAATGACAACTATATGAACAACAACAACAAACAAGCAACAACATAATAATAAATAATAATAATAATAATATGCAATAAAATAACAATAATATAATATAATAATAATAATATATAATAATAATATATAATAATAATAATAGTAATAATAAAATAATAATAATAATAATAATAATAAGTAAAATAATAAAATATAATAAATAATAATAATAAATAATGAATAATGAATAATAATAATAATAATAATAATAATAAATAATAATAATAATAATAATAATAATAATAATAATAATAATAATAATAATATAATAATAAATAATAATAATAATAATAATAATTTTTTTTTCTTTTTTCTTTTTTTTTCAAAAAGGAGTAAATGAAGGATTTGTTATAATAATTATGAGGACATGTCATTCATGAAATAATAATTTCTTGAAAAAAGAGGAAACGATTGATCTCAAATAATAATCAAGAGGAAAGGTGATTCATGAGTAAAAAAAAAAAAAATATTGAAAAAAAGAGAACAAGAACGTTTTGTAATAATAAAGAGTAAAACATAAATGCAACGAGAATCAAGAAGAAAGAAAAAAAATAAAAAGAAAGAAAATTAATAATAATAACAAAAAGAGAACAAGAACGTTTTGTAATAATAAAGAGTAAAGACGATAA